CAGGGTGAGTCTGCTCTGTTGAGTGAGCCTAGCTCGGGCCTTTCTTTTGCTTTTGCTTGAACCTGCATTCTTGTGGGAAGGTAGTTTGATGCAGCTCACAGAAGGGGAATGAGCGAGTGGACCTGTGCCACACCCTGTGTAACAGGATGGCTTTGTTTTCTATTTCTGCCTTCTTCCTGGAACCCGATCACTTGTGTGATCAATAGACTGACAGTGAGCGGACAGAGACCGCCGCCGACGGGGAGACCACCGCCACCGAGGTTGGTATCCAGACAGACTGGGGTTGGCAGCTCAGGTTGCCCAGAGGAAAAGCCTTGTGTTTACTTTGGGAGTGGAGATAAATCTAACTTTGAACAGTAGGTGTGAAATATGCTCCCTTGCCTAGACCAGTGGTTCTCAAACTTCAGCCTGCATCAAGAACCACCAGAAGGGTCCCACCAACGTTTCTCCTTCAGAAGGTCTGGGGTAGGGGGACTCAAGGATTTACATTCTAACCAGCCCCAGGTGGGACTGACTGATAATCGTAGGGTCCCATTTTGAGAAAGACTTGCTTAACATGATACATTTTATGTACATATATATGTGGTTAAGAGGTCGGCTGCTAAGCAAAAGGTCGGCAGTTTCAATCTACCAACTGCTTCTTGGAAACCCTGTGGAGCAGTTCTGCTCTGTCCTGTAGGGTCGCTGTCAGTCAGAATTGACTCGACAGTAACGCGTTTTTTTGTATACATATATATGTGTGTGTGTGTATATATGTATTTTTTTAAATGTATTTCCCTATCCCAGATTAGTGGCTATTTATGTACCATATCCATGAAGAACGGGGACTGTGGGTCACACTTTAGTTTTTTGATTGGTTATGGATATATTTTTAAATCCTACATGGTCAAATAAAAATGGCTCAAAGTAATAATATTTCTCTTCACTGAGTTTAGGAGACTGGATACACAGCCTAGGTCACTCATAAGAAATGAATTATTTACGGGAAAGAAAATTAGCAAATGACTGTTAGTAGTTTATTAAAAAAAAAAAAGTAATCACATTGAGGAGAGGTACTGTGCTGTTATATTTCCTTCATGCATTCTTCAGGCTACATTAAGTGTGTGTATCTTATGCTGTTTTTCAAATCTTCTCTAGCAGTACCAACTGAAATTTCCGTAAAAACAGTTTTTATCAATAGTAATGAAAGTCAAGATGTTTATGTCCTGAAGTGTTCGTAGATTTAATTTTGTTACCTTGTGAGGCATTTACTTTAGGCTGTGCGTTTTCGTTTTTGTTTTTTACATAATCCGGCCCTAACGATGTTTTCTAGTTGTTTATTTAGAAAGAACTAAAAATGTTGTGAGTAGTATCTGTACATCATTTAATTGAAAATATCTCCAGAAAAACATTTCAAAATGGTGTTTTAGTATGTAAGTTTCTTCCTTTGGAAATGCCAGAGATCAGTTCAGAACTTGGAAATCATCATTTTTAGAAATTAAAAATATTATTTAAAAATTATTATCCAGATTCTTTTAAGCAATCATACATGAATTTTACTGCAGGTTAATAACTCTGTGCTAAGTACAATGAAATTATATCTTGATTTTGTAAGATGGGTTACGTGTAACTACATGGTCAGTAGATTCAGGACATTTTCCCTGTAATCCTAATGTGTGCGATAAATGAAAAATATTTTAATAATTCTTTAAGTTTCTAAAACCCGTTGTCGATTCCAACTCATAGTGACCCTATAGGACAGAGTAGAACTGCCCCATAGGATTTCCAAGGAGTGGCTGGTGGATTTGAACTGCCGACCTTTTGGTTAGCAGCCAAGCTCTTAACCACTGCGCTGACAGGGCTCCTTAAGTTTCTCTGGAAGCTTTACATTTTGTTATAGACCATGTGAAACATACAGACACATACATGTAATATGGGTGGATTGTGAAACTTAAAAATCACGTGAAGGGCTGTGAACTGACCGGACAGCTAAGAATTAGGAAGTCGCCAACACTGTTAATAAAGTTATCTATCTGTGCTCTCTGTGACATTTCTTACCCACTTTCCCTCTCGGATCCAGGTAGCCAGGGCAGCAGGAGTATAGCATGGCATAGGCAGAGCAGGTGATCTTGTCCCCATTGGCAGATGAGAGCATTGAGACCCGGATAGACTGGCTGAGGGCTTCAGGCCACTCACTCGGGTGTTAGCTTTTCTCAGTAGGGTGTCCCTGAGGACGTCCCCTTGTGGTACAGCAGCGAGAGACACAGGTTTATCACTATGGGTGCTCAGCTTGGCCTCGTTACCCAAGTTAGTGGTACTGAGATGCCGATCCGACGGCTAGACAGGTCCTTGAATTAGAGAAATAAGGAGAATGGAGTGGGTTTTAGATCACCTTACGCATTTTTTTTAAAAAACTCAGAAATGATGGCGTCGTTAAAACAACTTTCTGTTTAAGTCTGTATCAGTCTCCCCAATTTGTTTTTAATTCTATGGGTTTATGAAATTCAAGGTTCCAAGAAATTAGAAAATGTGGAAACTTTCTGTTAAATTTTTGGCACCTCAGTTCTCCGGTCTGCCAAATGGGGATAAACTCTAACCTCACAGAGTTATCTTGAGGATTCGTACAGTGCCAGGGAGCCCTCATTATTGTGCAGTCACGGTCAATCTTCTGAACTGTCATTGTCAGCTGGCTCATGACGCATCTGATCCGGCTCATCACACCGTCCTAACCCACATTAAGTCCAGTCCGTCATCTGCCAACACACCTGTGTCTTCACGTTTGGAAGTCTCCAGGCTAAAATGGCCAAGGCCCACTGAGCAAAGAACCTTTCACCCCCGTGGTGCTGTCAGGCCTCTTCATTTTGGTGTGGGAGTGTTGCGGTTTGTGCATAGAAAAGACATGGCCTTCAGAGGCAAGGGCAGGCTGGTGTCCACATTAGGAAGTTCATACAGACCGTGATTCGTTCGTCTCAGAATACGTTGCATAGTCAGACTTTGTTTCCCACTCTTTCTGTATGCTGACAGTCGGACCAGGAGGAAGATGCAGAGCTCAAGGCACAGGTAGAAAATTTTTAAAAAGCAGAAACAAAAACCAACGTGTGTTTAGTCATTGTGTGTCTCCAGTGTTGGAATCTTTGAGCATGCTCCATAACCAGTTACCCCCCGTCGATGTGAGGTGTGGGATGGCGTTTGTTCCTTCCTGGACCTTGTCCCTTACTTGTCCCTTTCTTCTCCACTTCTTTCAGAATAGTCTGATTAAGCGAATAAAGGGTGAAAATGTGTATGTCAAACATAGTAATCTTATGTTAGAGGTTGGTATTGGTATATACCAGTGCATGTTGGTGTGTGGTGACTTTTTGATGGCATCCTGTGGGCTCGTACCGTGATGCATGCTCTGTGTGCTCTCACCTGTAGATGAGGGGGACTGTCTCGGCTTCCCCCCGCTCTTCCCTCGCTCCTAGATGTAGATCCCTCCCCCTGTGTGCGCATTTAATTTTCTCTGGTTCCGTGTCAATTCTGTTGTTTACAGTTTACCTTTTAAGACTGGTTTGATTTGATTTTTCTGCTTGTGTGAACTAGATTTTTTTTTCCCTTGGAAATACATTTTCACTGGAGTGCTTGTGGTGGTGTCATGAGTCCTAATGTTCCTAATTCTGTTTTGCTTTAACGACTAATGAGATTGGCGTTACTTTAGAAAGAGAGAGGACGGGAAGAAAAAACAGATGTAAAACACTGGCTTTTTGATTGTTTATTTTCTAAATGTAGGAGCTAGATAAAACTCAGGATGACCTGATGAAACATCAGACCAACATTAGTGAGCTGAAAAGGACCTTTTTAGAAACCTCCATGGACAGTGCCCTCACGAACGAATGGGAGAAGAGGCTTTCCACGTCTCCGGTGAGGCTGGCCTCCAGGCAGGAGGATGCACCCATGATTGAACCACTTGTGCCCGAAGAGGTGAGTACTGCGGCTTTTTGTGGGCACTGCCTTCTGTTCAGGAGCCTTGCGTCTCTACAGGGTCCGCAGCTGGGAGGAGGATTTGGCGAGCTTCTGCGTAGAGAATCTTCCCTTTTGTCCACGTGTAACCTGAACAAGAGACTGGATACTCCCTCCACAGGGAGGCTTCAGAGGAAGTGGTCAGGTGGCTTAAGGGGGAGTCATCACAAGCAGGTGGTGCTTAGCTGGAACGAGGAAGTGGGAGACTTATCCCAACCAGAAGCCTCCATTTTACAGTGGGGAGACACGGAGGCACTGTCTTACCTTTTTCTAAATATATTTTCAGCTGCTGCAGTAACAAATGCCCTGAAAACTCATTCATGTTTCTCGTCAATTCTAAGACGAGTCCCATTGAGATTGTTAAAGGCTTGACTGAATGGTGGTCTCAGGTTGATGGTGTTTCAGCTGTAGCTGAGATGGTCTACCAGAGTTTTCCTGTTTAGTGAAGATGGGTGTCATATCTGGCCTTTAATGGCAAAAGTAGGGGCCAGAAGTTTCTTTCTCAGTGAGACTCTCCCTTGTAGGAAGGCCCTCTTTACTGGACAGCCAGGAGTGTGAGGGTTCAGCTGGGTGGGACCCCTGTCATGGGACCCCCAGATTGCTGTAGTGCTGACTTCACTGCCTTCGGTAGGACATCGTCATCCTTTCTCTCTTTCAAAACAAGTAGTTTTTAAAAACTGCATCTTACAGGCATTTGTATTGATTAGCCTCCTTATCAAGACCCCTTTATTGTGAGGTATTTATTCAGGAAGCCGTGACAAAATAGAAAAAAAATAAAATAAAACTGAGGCCTTAATGGGAGAAAAATCCTTTAAACAGTGGTCAGTATGCGCTGTTTAGTTCCCTTGCAGTGAAAAGGAGAGAATTACATGCATTGCTGATCATGTTCTAAACCTTCTTCGAGCTGTTTATCAAAAGTGACCAAGATCCACTATCACTGTTCATGACAATTCTAGTACCAGCTAAAAAGCAAAGAGGTATATATATATCCGTTTGAATTACTTAAAGGGCTCTTTTATGCAGAATGAATGAAAAATAATAACAAAGGTTTTCCTATACCACTAAACGCTAGTTCATCCAAATTACTTGAGTCTCAAGAGCCAGAAATTTCACATTCAGATTGATTTCATTATTGTAGTCCTCACATTATGTGGAATGCCCTGTCAGCTGTGATTGCATGCATTTCCCTGTGTCACTGATCAAGTTTGGCTTTCCGTGTCTGTCTACCACCTCTGTTGGAAGTAAGCAAGAAAGCGCTGGTTCTGAAGATACTGGATAGTGACCAGCACAAAACAAAAGGCCTCTCTTCCCGTGCTTATTTAAGAATACAGTAGGCTGTAGCCGTTTGGAATGGAAGAGTTTAGCATAGTACCTTTGAGAAGTTAAGTGGAGGGCTAATACTCCTAGGGACAAGGGGAATTTAAAAGCCTAGGCTGTTAGTTAAAAAATAATTATTTTCTGATTCAATTCTCTGATTCTAAGAGAGTGACATCAGATGCCCCCAAAGAGCATGATTAATTTAAGGGTGCAATCCTTTGAATACACTGAGCTTTCCCTGGATGTTAATGCCTTTTCTGTGTTCGTTCAGAAAAACTGAAGTGAGCCCAGGAAAGGGTGTTTTTAATGATGCAAGAATGGAAACATGTTCCCTAGGGTTACTTAGACTGGAGAAGCAAAGGCCGGCTTAGTAACTGCTTTCAGGTGTGGGCTGAGTGCCCGTGCTCCATCGCTGCTCTGGAAAAGGGAAATCACAGAAAGAACCTGGCTAAATAGAAGAGCTTCTTAAAAACAAGGCTGATAAACACTGCTATCCAAGCAGCCTTGATAAAGCAGCTCCAGGGAGCCGTCAGTCGTGGAGGGAGAGAGAGGTCTCTGGGGTGATGAGGCACTGCTTTCCCTTGTCAGTGGGACCAGAGAGCGTGGCCTCTGCGCCCCTCCCCGCCCCTCCCCTCCCTTCT